CCCTGCCCCAGCCTCGCTGCCCTGCTCTGGCCACGCTCCAGCCCCTCCATGGCCTTCTTGGCCCAAAACTGAACACAGGATTCGGGGTGCAGCCTCACCGGTCCTTCCTGGGAGGAGAGGGGAAAAGGCAGGGCTGGCACCCGCAGGGTCCCACTGAGCTCCCAGGTCGCTGGGCAAGGCAGGCCAGCATGGGCCAGACCCAGAGAGCACCCAGAAGAGATGGGGGCTGCACCCACAAGCAGGACCTTCGCCGTGGGTAACGTCACGGCTCGCTGCGGCCGGTTTGGAGGTGACAGAAACCGTTGTCACTGGGGTTGGGTCTCTCCACCCCCCTGTGTCCTGCCACCGCTCGGCTCTGCCTGCTGCACAGACGAGGGTCAGCCGCAGCTTCCATTTTATGGGCAACTTCAGACAGGATGGCTACAGAGAAACCTTGGGAACGCCTGTGCGGTGCAAGCGGTGCGAGCAGCGCGGCATCCCCAGACCTCCGCATGCATCGGGTCTGAAAAACTGCTCAAGGGAGTGCCAGCTGCCACGGCATGAGGAGGGATCTGGGAAACCATGTCCAGGCAGCACTGAGCCTGAAAGCTCTCCTGGAAAGGAGGGGCAGAATGATCCCGAGGAAATGTCCTCTCCAGAGCTGTGGTGGGGCTGAGCACGCACCTGCAGCGCAAAGGTCTTGCCGGGGAAGCGGGGGCTCAGGCCGGTGCAGTCCATGGAGCCTGTGTTGGTGACGGAGGTCTCAATGCCATGCAGGACCCCCTGCCCGGTGGCGGAGTGTCGCCCGTGGATGCCTCCCTGGCTGATGGGCTCTCCTGTCGCAGACGCCTGGGCATCGATGTCCTGCGAGGGCGGGATGGGGAGAGCAAGGGTTAAGGTCTCACCGGGTGCAGGTCCTCTAGAGAGGACTTTCCCCAGGCCTCAGCTTCCCTCACCCTCCCCTAAGCCTCAGCTAAACCTAAAGCAACTCACTGGCAAGGGCCTCTGGGCACGAACCCTCGCAGTGCCCCCGGCATCCCGGGCTCCAAACCAGCACTGTCGGAGCTCGCCCAGTACCCCAGTGTGTGGGTGCAGGTGCCAGCTCCCCAGGACATCTCCTGCTCCCCATCAGGGGCCAGCACATCAATCCCAGGCCCTGCGGAGGTAGAAAGATCTATGAAATCCTGCCTTTGCCATTTGATTGCTTCGCTCCCACCAACGGCACGTGCTCAGCCAGGTGATTTCCGCAGGCTGGTCACGTCCTTGGGCTCCCCAAGGAGTCCCTTGACCAAAGCGTGGCACTGCCCGTGCCCCAGAGCCTCCCCAGTGCCCTCAGGCGTGACCATCCTTGGCTTTCACAGGGTCTTTGCCGTGTCCCTTCCCAACGCTTTCAAGTAAAGAAGGAACTTAAAGGTCTTTGCCTTGGGATCAGCACCGCTCTATCACGCGCTGAGGCAGGAGAAACCTTCGCTCCTCCCTGCGACCGCGCAGGCCGGTGGGAATGGAGGTAACGTGCAGGTGAGACCCCTGCCCGGCAGCACCCGGGGGCCGGCCCCGCCATGCCCAGCGCCGCAGGAGGCTCCCCCTGCTCCAAACTCACGGCGCAGGCAGAGCAAAGCAGTGAACGGAGAGCAGCGCACCAGGGCAGCGAGCGCTGCCGACGGGCAGCGAGTGAGCGGCAGCCTCGGTGCCTGCCCAGCCAGGCAGCCGCTGCCTGCTCCCCTGCCTGCAAGCCACACACTGCTCACAGAATGGGGACAAAACCGCTCTCACCTATAAATCCCTTCTCGGCCATTTCTACAGTAAAATGCCTCGTTATTTTCTCCAGCTCACGTTCCTGTGCAAGAACAACAAAACAGTTGTTACTACGAGCCCCAAGAAAAATCACAGAGCTGCGGTCCAGCATCCGGCAGCTGCCCTGCCCTGCCTGTACAGGGCACACCCTGACGTCTCCAGGGAGTTCATTCACAGCAGCTGGGGACCCTGGATCGGAAAAAAAGAGATGTGTGAGCTCCTGGTCCCTTTGCTCACTGCCCTTCCAAGCCCTGGCTGATTTGCACCATCTCCCAGCACAGCAGGCAGTGGCAGGAGCGTCCCTGCTCCAAGGCTCCTTGGGTGTGCGTCTGGCCAGATGCACTCACCCATAAACCAGGGTTCACCACCCCTCTCCCCACCCCGAGCTGCTTTTCGCAGTCGCTGGGTGAGCGTTACTCACGGCAAAGCTCTCCCTCCGCTTGTCAGAGCGCATCGCTGTGATACGTGCAGAGGGGAAGGGCTGTGCAAATGGAGCGTGAGTTATGGGCCGTTGGCGGGGGAAGGAGAGGAGTGAACTCACTGAGTATTTCCTCGGATCGATCCTCGCACCCGCCATGGCACCACCAAAAGGAACATCTGGAAAAGACCAGGTAAAGAAGACAGAGGTTGTCTGTCTGCTCCCCGGGCGGAGAAGGCGACTGCGGCAATCGTGACCTTGCTGGTGAATCCCGGCAAGGGCCCACCGCTTCCCCACGCCATGCATGGCTCCCCCCAGCGCCAGGCGGCCTCTGCGGAGCGGAGCCGAAGGCAGGACGGGATACGGACCCCGAGCCTGCCACCAACACCACCAGCCAGAGCTGAATCCATGACAACCCAGGCACAGAGACTGCATCTGAGGCGCGATGCTTGATGCTCCCTGATTAACACGAACATCCCGGGCTGCCGGTGGCGTGCTCGGCAGCCACGGCAAGCCATGCCCTCGCACATCCGTGCCAAGCCTTGCCCTCGCACATCCATGCCCAGAGGAACATCCTGCACTTCTAGAGCACTTCTGATTTTCAAAGCATTTAACGAGCTTTTCTGACTCACGGTATCACAGCCCCATCCCATGCCCAAGTCACCACGTACTTTACGTTCCCCTTGTACTCACCCACTACAGCGCATTAATGCAGCCAGGGCTTTTACTTCATCGACACCGATTGAGCTGCTGAAACGAACCCTGGGGAAAGAAAAGAGAAGAAATGAAGAGTCCCTGCCTTTTTACCACAAATGGCACAGAGGCGTTGTAGGAAAGGCTTTGACTCTTCTGAAGCAGAAGCATCTAGTCGCAATAGGTGAGCAGCAATCGTTCAGCTAGACCCATTCCAGATCACCGCAGAACGGAAAGCGGGTTCCTACCAGCCGGCCATGCCACAGCCTTCGCCGCGGTGGCACCGCAAACAGCGCGGCCGCAGCATGGCGAAAGCCTCAGAGTAAGGGCGAGGGGACAGGAGGCTGGGAGCCCTCAGGCTCGGAACAACGGTCGCCGCTTTGGGGTGTGTTTAGGGCGGTGAGTATCCGGTGTTTAGGATGAGGAGTCGGGGGTGGCCGCCAGCCGCACTCTTCTGCTCCAGTGCGAGCAGCTGGGCTGCAGCTGAGGTTGGCAAAGCTGCCATCCCCTGCATCCCTTGTCCTGCGGGATGCATCCAAGGATGGCATCCTCCTGGGCGCTGCCGTGGCCGTCCCAGCCGCCACCGTGGTACCGTAGACACTGCCCGCTCAGGCTCCCCGCTCCCCGAGCCAGGCAGGGGTGAGCCCGGCAGAGCCCCACGCGCGGGGCTGGGTAGGGATGGAGAAGCGTGGAGTGGGGCTGCGGCTCCCCGCGCCCCCGTCTCCCTGCCTGTGTCCCCCAGCTGGCCCTGGGGCCATGTCCCTGCCTGCACCCGGGGCCCTGCCTGCACCTGGGGCCCTACCTGCACCCAGGAGCATCCCAAGCGATGCGCTCGCCCACCGGGCTGCGGTGTCCCAGCTGTGGTGCCCTCCCAGCCTGCAGAGCTGGGGCAGGTCAACCTGGGCTGTGTTTCGGGGCAGCCAGGGCAGGGGGTGCTGGCAGGGATCGGGTCCCCCCCAGCACCTCCGTGCCGAGGCAGCTGGGATGGCAGCGCTCTTTTTAGGGCGCTTGGTGCTTTCGGATCTCCCAGTAACGTCCGTGTCATCCCAAGGCTCTCACAGCATTGGGCACCCTGCGGGTCCTGTCACTGGCAGCATGGCCCCGGGGCAGCGTGGGATGCACGGCTGCGGTCGGCAACGGCAGCCTGGGGCCCCCGGGCATCTCCTGCCGCTCCCGTTTGCCAGCACCCCGTCAGCTCCGGAGCCCGGCCTCCCTGCCTGCAGATAACGTGGGCGGCTGCGCGTGAAGGCGGCGCAGCAGTGAGCGGCCGCGGGAAACCCATCGCCTTCCCACCGGGCAGCCCCGGAGCGGGCACATGCCCCGGCCAGACCCTTTCGGCTGCATCCCACCACTCGCTGGCACAACCGGGCACCGGCGAGCCGGACGGCGCAAAGCCAAGCCTAGGCCGAGCCGTGTGCCGGGCGCGTGTGCCTGCCTGCACCGGTGTGTGCAGGCGCCGGCGGCTGTGGGGGAGCCTGGCACGTTCACGTGGCGCTGCCCGTGCCGGCGTGGGAGGTGGGCCACGGCGTCGAGGGAGGGGGCTGCCATGCTACCTGCGCCGGCAGCCCCCTCCGCCAAGGGAGAATGCGCTTTTCAGGCAGCTGCCTGACTCCTCGCGCGCCGGCAGCGCGGGAGTGCGTTGCCAAGGCAATGGGGACCATCTTACTCATCCTCCTCGCTATTGTTCTCCTGCCAGCCCCGAGGTACCCGGGTGGGGAGAGGAGGAGGAGGAGGCAGCCGGCTTGGGATGAAGGCTGCTCGCAGGGAGGGGAGGATGCTCCCCGCAACCCCCCCACCCAGCCCCGGCGGGGATGGGGACGCGCTGGGTGCTGAGATGCCAATGGGGACGGGGAGAGCGGCTGCCGGCGGAGCTGAGAGCGGCAGGTGGAAGCAAGTGCCAGCAGGATGCGGCCCCGCAGCCCCCCGCCCCGCGGGAACGTCCGGGCCAGGGGATGGGGGACATTTTGCTCCCCTACTTTGCCAGGACTTGATCCTACCCTTGCCCCCGCCAGGGTCTGTGCCCAGGCTTGGGTCTGATCCTACACGGGGCAGCGTGGGATGTAAACCCACACCGTGCTTCCCCCCCAGTTCAAATAGGCAACTGGGCCCAGTCGATGCTGCGGGACTGGGACCGGCATGCAGGACCACGGGTGGGGACAAACACCTTGAGGATGGGACGCAGCGATGGGTGCAGCGATGCGCCCCCACCCCATCCACCCCATCATTGGGGTGCCCAGCGGTGACATGGGGGGGTAAAGCAATGTATTTTATTTTATTTCCATATCCCGCCTCCCTATTTTTAGCCTTCGGGGTTTTGTTCCAGCCTGGCTGTTTACTGGAAGGAGCATTTCCAACCTCCCTTGTCTCCAAGCAACCAGGTGTGCCAGCTCCATCGCCCAGGCCTCACCCTATAGATCTATAGGGTCGGGGGGTGTGTGTGTGCTAACGTTAACCCCAAGACGGGG